TGTAGGACAAACAGACAGAATATTAGTAGAGTGCATCCATGAACACCAACTAGCAGTCAAAATGCATGATGATTTTTTTTTAATCCCATAACACATGGACAGACTCAACCACAGTTTCAAGAGGAAAACTCTGAACATCCTAAACCAAGTAAAATCCAAAAACGCTAGGTAATTCCTAGAAGCTTGGCATTCAGGCAAATCAGCCATCAATAGATATATAGAGATAAATCGCATTTATACACCATTCCAAAGAGACAATAAAAAACCTAAGAAAGAAACAAAAAGGCCAGAACAAATCCAGCCCCTATATTCAGAAAAGCAAGTATTAACATCAGACAAACAATCAAGCAAAAAGGAATACTTTAATCAAGGAACTTCTAAAGAGAAAATCTCTCCCCCATCAACACTAAAAGGTCTAACTATTGTATGTAAAAAGCAGCAAACTCCATACTGACTAGCCTAGTTGGATAATGAAACATTTACAATCAAACAATCAAGTTCAGAGAGTACCAAAGATTCCATGGTTCAACCCTGAGCTATATACAGTATATTCTCTTCTATTAGAATCATATATATAACATGCGTGTCAAACTCATTCATGTCACGTGATGTATCACTACGTTTTTTGCCTTTGCGGAGCCGGGGTGGTTGTGGCCTGCATGTGACGCATCCGGCCCACGGGCTGCCAGTTTGACACCCTTGATATATAGTATAACCTCTCAATCAGGCCTTATCCAGATGCTGTGAAATTGCTGTTGGATAATCAATTATTTTAGAATCAGTGGATCAAAGCAAAATAACGCTACTGGGCATAGAGTTATGAAAATGGGAGGAAGGGTAAATAATTATTTGAAGACATCAACACTTCTGGAATCAACGGATGGAAATAAATTGCACAATTCCATGTTTTTGTGCATTATTTTGTTTGGACTGCTGCTATTTCTAGCAACCTGCTCTTATTACTTCGGTGTTAGAGAGCCTCCCAGGCAGAAGTTCAGCTGTTAAAACTCTAGTTGGCATACGGTATTTCTTTCCTGTGTTTAGGCCTTACAACCTTGGGGTGTGTTTTTTTCCAGCAAATCTTGTGCCTTTACTAGCTATTTAATGAGTGATAATAACTATTCACTTACCATAAGAACAAGGAGGCATCTAAGATATGCCATAGCAAAATATTTTGTAGAAGAGTTTGGACAGATCTGGACATTTCCCCCCAACTAGGTTTCACCTTTTCTTTTTTTTAAAAAAAGGAACCAAGCAGGGTATGACATAACAAATATCTTCACTTTTAAGACGTTTCAAGTCACTTTATTAGGGTTCTCTTTTTCTTTTTGGAATATGGTAATATACTTACCTTTTATTCTGGAAGGAATTGCTGTGCAAATCTCAGTGGTTCTGTAGAATGTTTGGTATGCACAATGTACAATTGTGCTTGGCCCATGCAAAGTAATTTTTGGAGTCACTGACATCTGTTAGGTTTCAGTGAGGAGAAGGATCATTCCTAATGTAATTTCAACCTTACGGCATGAGGTTGGATGAACTTGTGGGGCAAAGACTGTACAGCAAGTGGGAGTTAGCCAGTCCCTGTTGCCTACAACTTCCAGCATCTATCTGCCCTGTCTTTGCAATAATTACATCACTGGTGCCATCTCTAATTTCATGAAAAGCCTTATATAACATCTAGACCAGTGCTTCTCGACGTTTGTGTGACGGCGACCCCCGTCACACAAACGTGCCGTGCATGCGCGGCGGCGCCCCCCGAGGGGGAAAAATGGCGGATCGCCTTGTTTGGTGACCCCTGAGAAATGGTCAATCGACCCCAAATGGGGTCGCGACCCATAGGTTGGGAACCACTGATCTAGACTAATTACCATGATCTCTTAGATTTCTACCTTTTCAATGAAAACTAGGGCAAAGTCTATTTTGTGTATGGCAGGATGTTCTTTTAAATATTACAACGTGTGTGTGTGTTCTGCAGATATTTCAGCCTGTTGTCATTAAAGTTAGAAATAGATGTCTATACTAATGGCACCACTGCTATCAGCCTACTTGCCTGCTGAGTAGCAAAGAAGAGAAAATTCTTGGGCTTTGAAGCCTTTCAGTTACAAGACATTTTTGTTTAGTACATGACAGGTATGGAGGAATGGGAAAAGTAAAATCTTCATAGACATGCCTATATTATTCTTATGGCAACACTATCAAGTACAGGTAGTCCTTGACTTACAACAGTTCGTTTAGTAACTGTTCAGTTATAACTGCACTGAAAAAAGTGACTTATGACCATTTTTTACACTTATGACTGTTGCAACATCCCCATGGTCACATGATCAAAATTCAAACGTGTGGCAATTGACTCATATTTATGACGGTTGCCATGTCTTAGGGTCATGTGACTACCTTTAGCAAACGTTTGACAAGATAGTCAATGAGGAAGCCGGATTCACTTCACAACTGTGATACTAATGCAACATCTGCTGCGATTTACTTAACTGTCGCAAGAAAGGTTGTAAAATAGGGCAAAACTCACTTAACAACTGTTTCACTTAACAGTAGAAATTTTGGGCTCAACTGTGGTCATAAAGCCGAGGACTACTGTAGGCTTAAGCAGTTTTCTTCTGGGATATTTTTACTTTACTTTCTGGTCTGGCCAAGGAATTCCCCATCCATGGTCAAATCAAATCCAACCCTAGGTGGCTTTACATAGAAAGTCTTTTCCATTTTCAGTGTTGCCAGTCCTTTTCTGGATTTTCCGTTAAATGTGTTTGTTGATCAGTTGAATTTTCTATCATAGTATTTGATTGTTCCACTTCTTCTATTCTGTGTAGTTGATTCTTTGGTTGTAATCAAAGTTTGGGTTTGTATATCTAGGCTGACATCTTGTTCTTTTCTGTAGCATCTTATTTCATCAGAAGCTGTAAGAATAGTTTCATAAATTGCTTTCAACATAGAGAGAATCTGTTCCTGATCTTCATCCATGTTCTCTTAGTAGTGTGTTAAATTAAAAGCTTTACAATCAGAGAATGAAAATAATTTTGTCACTGAATATAGAACACAGCTGAGCTTCTCACAGCTGATATCTGCCAAGATTGCAAAGTTTTATCTATAGTCTGAGCTTCAAGCCAAGTCTCTTTTAGACAATAACAAATCATAATATCAGGTTTAGCCACAAGATGTCACCCATAACGTTTAATTTTTTTTAAGTCCAAAATTTTATAATCGTTTTTCTAATCTTACTTCTTTTTTGTAAGTAAAAACCCAAATCTTCAATAAGAATAAAAGATCTTTTATTTTAAAAAGATAGAAATCCATTTAAAGCAGGTTATTCTTTCAGCATTTTAAACTCCCCTGGATAGTCAGTCGCCACTGTTTTTAGAGGATGGAATAAAATTTCCCTTCCCTCTCTCCACAGCGGGGAAAATACTTTGAGCAGCTTATACAGGTAGAAAAAATAGTTAGGATTGAAGAGAGGTTCAGATGTCACCCAGTCTCATCCACACTGCTTTATAAGTGCCTGGTGGTAAGTTTGACTTCGGCTGTCTGCAGCCTAGTGACGGGCCATATTTCTATGGCCAGTCTTTTGTCCGGTTTCTATGGCTGGTCTTTCGTTCGGTTTGGAGAGCTGCCCCGGATCGAGCGGAAGGGCTTCTGCCCTCCAGCGATCAAGTGGGGGTCCCCTCCTTGCTTGTCGCCCTACAGGGTGCCCCTTTCCAGGGTCCCCCAGCAGTGCAAAATTGGACGTGGAAGACGGAGCTTGCCTTCCAGCGGCTGCAGCAGCTGCAGCAGCAATCTGGAAGTCAACAATATCAAGTACAGGCAGGGCTTTTTTTGTCATAGAATGCCCAGAACGGAGTTTTGGCACCTTTTCTGGATGGAACCTTGTAGGGTAGGCAAGGCGGGTTGTATGACATGTGTGAGTTCCGGCACCTTCCCCCCCCCCCAAAAAAAGCACTAAGTACAGGTAATCCTTGACTTACAACAGTTTGTTTAATAACTGTTCAGTTATAACCGCACTGAAAAAAGTGACTTATGAACATTTTTTACACTTATGACTGTTGCAACATCCCCATGGACACATGATCAAAATTCAAATGTTTGGCAATTGACTCATATTTATGAGGGTTGCCATGTCCTAGGGCACAGGTCACAACCCGTAGCTCCGGAGTCACATGTGGCTCTTTGAGCCTTCTCCTGTGGTTCCCAGCACTTGTGCTTCTCTTCTCTCTCTCTCTCTCTCTCTCTCTCTCTCTCTCTCTCTCTCTCTCTCTCTCACACACACACACACACACACACACACACACACACACACACACTGAGTAGAGGAAGAGGACTGGCAGACCAAGGGCAAGAGAAAGCCAGCCCAATAAGAATTTGTGTCAGATTGTTGAGAACAGCATGAAGCCAGCTTGCCAGGTGAGCAGAAGATCAGAGAGAGGGAAAGGGGGGGGGGAGAGGGAGAGAGAGAGAGAGGGAGGGAGGGAGGGAGAGAGGGAGAGAGAAAACTCATGCACAGCAGCCTCTATTTCTTTTTAATTAAACTCTTCAATCAAGTGTGCATGTTTTGCAGCTCCCACTGTTTTCTTTTCTCTAGGAAATGGGTCCAAGTGGCTCTTTAAGTGTTTAAGATTGCCAACCCCTGTCCTAAAGTCATGTGACTACCTTTAGCAAATGTCTGACAAGATAGTCAATGGGGAAGCTGGATTCACTTCTAAACTGTGGTACTAATGTAACATCTGTTGGGATTCACTTAACAACTGGCAAGAAAGGTTGTAAAATAGGGCAAAACTCACTTAACAACTGTTTCACTGTAGAAATTTTGGGCTCAATTGTGGTCGTAAGCCGAGGACTACTGTAGGCTTAAGCAGTTTTCTTCTGGGATATTTTTACTTTACTTTCTGGTCTGGCCTATGGAATTCCCCATCCATGGACAAACCAAACCCAACCCTACTTAGCTTTACAATATCAAGTCTAGAAACACCTGCCCTAATCCCCATGGAACCTACTAGAGCCTTCTGATCAAACAGCTGAGGACTGGTCGGCCTTTTCAGTTCGCGGGCCCAGCAAGGTAACTTTTAAAACGAAATCTTTTGCGTGCACGAGAGCGGGCTAAAAAAAAAACTCGACCGGCTTGTGAAGCGCTGGGAGTTTGTCATGAATGAATGCAGCCTCCCGCCATTCCTGGGAGCGGCCTGCCGATGGCGCCAGAGAGAAAAGCGCCAATCTCAAAAGCCAGCCCTCCGCCGCTCATTGAGAAGAAAGTCCAGGAGCCGCGCTGTTTCGCTCGCTTCATTGGGCTGAGCCCTAGCACCGCGCCGGGTCGCCCGCTCCGCTCCTTGCGGCTGAGGCGATGGAAGGCGGTTCGGGCCACGGCGTTTCCGAGAAAGTTTTGCTCTCAGGCGTCTTTCGCCTCGTCCCTTCTCTGAAGGTGAACTATGCCCTGAGCCTCACAAGCGGCGCGAAGCTGCTGATGCGCCGGCTGGACTCGGCTGCCCTGAGCAGCAACGCGGCCAGCGCGCTGAGCCTCTCCACTTGCGTGGGCTGCTACGCTTTCCAGAGCAAGAGCGCCTCGCAGCCGGCGGCCGCCTACTTCTCCGTCGTTTGCTACCCTTTCAAGAAGGGCTGGTGGTACCGCGGGGAATCTCGGCAGAAGGTAGCGAAGACCTTTTGCGTCCTGACGTCGCAGGATGCCGAAGAGAACCGGCGCGTTGCCGAGACCTGGGTGAGGACGATCCGAGAGCTCTCGGCCCCCAGTCTGGAAGGTGAGCGAGTCGGGCAGGCAGAAGGGATGTCTTCTGACCGTGGGTGGTTGGACGGAAATTCCCCTAGTTCGCTTTCCTTTACACGTGTCGATAACTCGCACTTTTATCTGAGGCGGTTGGGTTCACGTAACAGGCGAATCCCAAGGCAGCGGCTTGCTCGATTGTGTCGTCGATAGGGTGCTGGGAGAAGTCCAGCCAACCTGATCTGTGTGTGGTGCGAAGCCAGCGAGAGGGGATAGATAGTCATTTATGGTTGCGAGAATGCCACCTTAATATTTTTATCCGATTGTATTCGGTTGGGTTTGTTCCCTCGAGTGCCTAAAACTGCAACCCCATCACAGGACTTGGGGTAAATGGCTTGGCTCACCCTGGCTAAAAGGAGAGGACAGGGTCTTACTTTTTCTCCAAATGGATAAAGCACTCTCTAGATTTTTTTTTTAAAAAAAACCTTATATAAAATGGCTAGAAATTTAAAAAGTCTTAATTGACTTTGAAAACTATCCCATTCATGTCCCAAAGGTGCTTTTTCAAAAGGAAAGTGGACTTTTCAGTGTTTTTTCTCTTGAGGATGTTTTGCTTCTCATCCAAGAAGCATCTTCTTGGATGAGAAGCGGAACATCTTCAGGAGAAAAAACCCAGTTGCCTCATGAAAAAGCACCTTTGGGACAACCATGACCTGGATGACTGAGAATCTCCATAGACATTTATCCCATTCATGGGGAGGGGTAGAGAGGTAGGTCCGACACTCCCATACCACTTTAGCCAAGGATGTCTAAAACAAATTTCTTTTTAATTAACTTTCATAACTAATTTGGCACATTTTCCATATTAACAAATACTAAGGAGGCTTCCAAAGAAAAGTTTGTGTACGTACTATTTGGTACATATGGGATTTAAGGCTGGAGCAAAGATACTTTTTTATATTTGTAATCTTACCATGTGTTCCTTACCGTTACTCATTTTTTAATCTCCCCCTCCCCCAATCCTTTAACATATTATTAGAGCCATCTGTTTAGAAGCACCTGTATTTGGAAAAAGTCTTCCAATATGGAAGTTCATAAGTCAGTATGCAAATTAGTGAGTGAGCCAATGACATAATGTGCACATTTCTGTGTGTGAGTGCAGGATAAATATGCATGTAGCAGCATGTAGATGCACATTATGGTCATATGTACATGCTCTGAAAAAATTCCTAGCATCATTTAAATTGATTTGAGTTTTGAAACTTAAGTGAACTGTGTAGCATATCCTTGTGTAAGATAGAAGTAAATCCCATTGATCATGTGATATATTAATATTTGCATACTGGAAGTAAATTCCAAATTCCAATAAATATCCATCCTGCTATCCTTTTGCAAGGCATTGAAGTCCTGGTTGTTTCCCCAGGCATTCCAGTCAAGGGGTGGATGAGCTCTATCACGATTGTTGGTCAATAAAGTTAGCAGTTTAGACATTGGAGGTAGGTGAGATTATGTTTGTTTTAATTTTGTATGCTGCAGAGAGTTTTTTGTGCATGATGGGCAGCTTTATCTATACCAGGGGTCCCCAACCTCCAGTCCATGGACCAGTACCGGGCCGCGGCATGCCAGCAATTGGGCCGCACAAACAAACAAAGCCCCATCCATGAGATGCAGGCAGCACACAAAACCACACACTCTCTGGTCCACGGAAAAAACTCTCTCCATGGAACCGGTCCTTGGTGCCCAAAAGGTTAGGGACCTCTGATTTATACTACTAAAACTCTTGTTCCTATAACCTTTAATGGGCAAAATGGTGCTTCATAGGATAACGATTTTTAATCAAGGTACCTCAAATGGGCTAATTTATAGAATGCATCCAAAATCTGGAACCCATGACTCCCATGGAATTGAAATTTGGCAAATTTTCTGAAACATTTATGACATAAAAATTAATACAGAATGTTTTTAAAAAATCCCTGTGGTTAACCCCTGATGTTTGACTGTGCTATACAGTTCAACGTGGGCTATTTTCAGGCAACAATATCTCCCTGAATTTTTAAGAACGTTTCCAGTGAAAGCAGTACATTAGAAACTCCGCTATTATTAAAAGCATTGAGAAATCCAGAATGGATACCATATCTCTCTAAAATTATGACCCAATGGGTCATGCCTGTTCTGGTAGATAATATGAATAAATAAATTTGGGATTGTTGCCTTACTCCTAAGAATATACATTTAGGAGGACAACGTTTCAGTTGAAGTAAGATCTGTTGACTCAAGATCAATCAGGCTCACATCTAACTAAACTATATAGGATATCACCTTATACAGTATATCATTTCACTTAATGAATGAATGCAGGAAAACAAGAAGGGTAATTCAGATATGCAGTTATAGGGTAAAGCTGGTATTAAGCCACATATCATATCTTTGGCTGCTACACAGCTTCAGAATGGGAGCTTTCACTTGCTAGAGTGAAAATACATGAGTGTAGGACTTGTCTGGGTTCCAGATGTACTTTATTTCCCAACAGACCAGCCAATTAGTTGAAACTCTAACGAAATATCACAGAGATAGCATCAAAGGGAGAGGGGGACAAGCACTATGGATATCTAAACCAGAGGTCCCCAACCTTTTGGGCACCAGGGACCCGTTCCGTGGAGAGAGGTTTTTCCACGGACCGGAGAGTGCGTGGTTTTGTGTGCTGTCTGCATCTCGCAGATGGGGCTTTGCTTGTTTGTGCAGACTGGTTGCTGGCATGCCGCAGCCTAGTACTGGTCCACCATCTGAGGATTGAGCACCCCTGATCTAAGCCCAGTGATCCTTCCATATAAATTATAACCTCCTACAGATTTACTTGAGGGTTGACTTGATCGAAATGCATACGATATGCTTCAGAGAGAACATGGTTAGAGTGGAAGACATGCCATTATTTCTGATTTTAGGAATTTGGGCTAGGGGACAGAATGTACGTTTCCCCTTTCAGAAAGGTCCTTTCTCTCCCCATCCCTTCCACGCCATTTTGTAATCCATGACAGCCTCTGTAGAACTTGTTCAGAATTGCTCTGGAAAGAACATATGACTGCAATCCTAATATCTAATTTGCCCTTTAAAAAACTTCAGAACTGTCTTGCCAAAGCCAAAGTCCATCACTCTAGCAACATGTTTCTAATAGTAAGTAGATGCACTGTGAATTTTCACATTGCTCATGATTTTTCTTATTGCTTCCTGGGTGAGTGGCATTTGTTCTTTTCTCTTTACTGGATTTTTATAAGCTGAGTTGTTCATTAGATGGAATCCTCCAAGCAAATAGGAAAGTAAATCACCAGGAGATCTTTGGCATATTGTAGTTTATTAAAAGAACTGGTCATGAAAAAAAAAAGATGCTTGATTAAGAGAACTGTTCCCAATCTGTTGTGTTCATCAAGGCTTTATCAGTTCAGTGTAAGATTTGCCAGATCTGGAGGAAAATGAATGAATTGGAGGTAATGAACCTCAATAGGGGGAATGAGAGGAACAATAAGGGGGGAAGGACCTTTTACAGACATTTAAATATTTTTCTTAAATAAGGAATTTGTCCAAAAGAGGTATAGATCCTACCATGTCCAGTGTTGTTAATGCTACTGAACCCCATTCTTGGGGATCTTGGACTTTATAGTTTAGAAATATCTAAGCAGCCACAGCTTCCCTGCCTTTGGAGTAGCTCAAGGTAAAAAATTAAAATTCATGGCCACAATTGATGGCCTTATGTGGGCTTGGAGCACCGCTTCAAAAAATTTATCAAGCTAATTTTAGCTTGATGCTAACCCTACACTTTAGGAGTAATCACCCACAGCTCCAATTATTTTAATGTAATTGCAATTATTTTTAAGTAACATCAAATCACTTCCTTTTAATGGAGTGCTGGGTCTGGTGTGCCAATAAAAGATCACGTGCAAAATTTACTTAGAAAAAGTTGTGCTGTAATTGTTAGGGCTGGAATGTCTGACCTGTAAGAATCTGAATTTTCACCAGATGTCAGCAGAAAGATTCAGGAACAAACTCTTTACAGACATCTGATGGTCATTTGGAGTTTTGCAGCTCTGATTTGGTAGTTCTAGTAATTGTAGACTAGAAGAGATGAGTGGCTGAAAAAAAAACTAACATTAATTTCTGCCTGGACAGTAGGTTGCGGTGACTTTCAATGCAAACCTTTCTGGCAAGGTAAATTTGAGAAGCTTGTGCAGTTCCAGTTGCCTTTAAAAAGATTGTGTAGGCCTATGTCAATAGGTATTATACTACAGTAACTCTGCAGTCCAAGCTGAACTACAGTTTCTTTTGTGGTAGATAAATCATTTCCATACAATGTATATCATGGGGTGCAGTCCGCTTAAAACCAAAACAATCTTGGCGTTGGGTAAATAAAAGCATTCAGAGCTGTATATTTATTTATTTAGATTTAGGAGATGTATCTTTGGCAAGGATTAAATAGATTCTACTGATTCGGTCTTAATCCAAGAATCTGTTTCATCAGGAGTAACAATGGGATAAGAGAAATGGATGAACACACAGTGGGAAGCAAAATTCTCTTCCAAGTTTTTTAGAGCTGTTATTACAGTTTCATTCTTACATTAACCCAGAATATTTTGCTTTTATATGCATCATTGTCTAGTTATTTGGATAATAACAAGAAAGCTAGTATGTGGTTTGAATCACCCCCCCCAAAGCAGTGAAAGATCAAATTGTTTTCCAAAAGATTTATTACTCTGAAGGTTATAACAATAGTTCTTTATTTCAGCCATTCTGTGACTTCTTTTGCTAAGCTCTTTTCAAAACATCCCCTTGGGGAATTGTGCTATACACATCGTATAGAACTGGCCAAATTAGGCTGCAAGAAAGTTAGAATGAAGAGCTTTACCAGCTGGGTTTCACAATGGCTGTAATGATGTGCTTCTTCATTGCCACTACTAAACCCTGTTCCGTTATGGAACTATGTGACACACCTGGCCAGCTTTTGAGTTTGTGTTACTTTTTAAGAAGGGTGCAGTTTTCAAATACTGG